CGTTTTAGTGTCAGCTTGAAATGGGGCGTCCAGCAATAGTATTGGCAACATTTTCTTACTGAGGAGTAAATTTATAGATTTCTATAACTTTTTTTTCTATTTCAGTTTTTACATTTTTAAAAAATTTAAAGTCTAAACAGAATCTGAACCACCGATACTAACAGTAAACAACCATTGCTAATATTAGTGAAGTGGGATGTGACGAGTACTTCCGTTCTTACAACTGTTAAAACTTACTCGGTCCGACAATCGTTCGTGAGCAATCGTATAATGCTGACTGCATATTTGATATTACTAATAAGTTAACGTATAAATATTAATTCAAGTATTAACAACACTTCATGAAGTGCACATCTCGACTTTGCTGAATTTAATGTTGCGTAAATCTGGAATATTCATCATTACTGAATAATAAGAAATAATTCTTAATCTTTTCACATCCCAGTTTTATCAGAAATGTTCATAATAAATTACACTAGAAAAATTATTTTTAGGAATTATTAAATATCAGTATATGCATGTGCTATTAACTCATTTAAAAAATAAAACAATTTAATCCTATTATGATTACTATAAAGACGTTTTGTACATGTATAAAATTACTTATCAATACTGACTTGTTTTAAAACATCTATAGCTGAAGCACCGCCCGTGAATTAAATACATTCTGGATCAAAATTTTTAATGCACTCGGAAAAGTTATTGGACAGAAAAGAGAAATTATTTAACTTAACTTTTTAGAAATCTTTTTCTTTGCATGTTTACATAAATTTACCAACTTCCGCGGAATATTTGCAACTATTGTGACGCAATATTACATAGGTGTTTGACGTCACTGATACATCAATGGAAACGTGGATTCAACCTGAATAATAAAGCAAATTTTAAACTAAATATTATGTTTGGAGGTGAAAATTAATTCCGATTTTGAAAATAAACCAGTTATTTTTGGTTAAATGATATTCTTTAGCGTATCAGTTCTAAATATCTCACAGGGGTTCTGATAGTAAGATGTTTAGCCGATTTCCCGATGCTACGGGAGATAACTCTTGCAGCACAGAACTTCATAAAAATGACTGTCTATTTTGCAAGAAAACTACTATTGAAAATATTTTTCCCACTGATTTTATTTTTTAAATTGAAAGATGAAATATTTCTTGATTTAGTTTGGAGTGAATTATAGATCTGTTGAAAATGTATTAGAATTTACAGTTCTTTGTTTCCGACATACATTCAATGGTTTATATAGGGGATTTCAAAAACACAAAACAAAACGATATTTTAGTAAATAAGCTATTTTCAAACAAATCTTTACCTACATTATTCTATATGCACTACATTAATATCATTTTCAATAAAATATCAAATATTCGTCACATTCGATGTGCCGCCTATTAATACATAACTGCCTGGTTTTCTGGTGGACTGCCTCTTAAAGCCTCTGCAGAGCGATGCATTATGGGAAACGGAACCTGTTTACGTTAATTATGTTAGAGGGTAATAAAAGTTTTTATATATAATATAATTTCCCTATTACGATGATTATGAGTTCATATCCTTAGTGAAGTTCTTCACTAATCATAGAAAGGGGATGTTCCTCAATAAATTTGCTGATAATTAGTATACTATAGAAAACAAAGCGGTTTTCTGAGGGTGACCAGAGACATTTCATGTTTCTGGTGTGACCCCTCAAATTATTTGACTTGGGGGGGGGGGGGGGAGGGGGGTTGGTACGTAGTGCCCATCCAAACAGAAAATGTCCGGTTATCCCCCCCCCCTACTTTTTCATTAAATTATTCATTATTCTGATCAATGTATAATGTCACAACGAAAGATGTTAAACCTTTATACATGTATACATGTTTTAAAATTTGAAGCGTCAGAAAATGAATATTAGTTGAGGACCGTAGGAAATAGGGAGGGGGGGCATAGTGGACATACCATACGTCCCTAAACATATTTTTTGCAGTATAGAAAACAAAGCTTATTTTCTGTTGCGCCCCTCAAAATAAACGTTTGATGACTCTTTATCAGCTGTTTATTATTTTGTGACAAGAATGTTGTCCTTTGAAGTCTGCCGTAAATTTCGATATTTGGCATGCAAATGAACTACATGACATGTATACAGAACAGTATTTTATTTTTAGTGATGATGGAAAAGTTCGGTGTCAAAAATTGCTAGTTAGTAGAAGGAATCAGGGTATGTTAGACTAGTATACACTTGTGAAAATCAAGACAAAATAATTTAATTACCAGCAAGGACGATTCCAAAATAATAAAGATTTGATGATTTTTTTTCTTCTTGTTCGGCTTTAGATACTTTTTTGAACCCCCTCCTCTTTTGGTTTCGATTTTAGCCTGATATCAATAATAATCAGTGGACGAAATTGCTGGACTTTTTTCTATTTGCTATATTTTACTTCAAACATCTTTGCCTTTAGTTAAGATAATTCTCACCGTTATAATGTATCAGAATTTTTCACATTAAATCTGAAAATTGATTTATAAAAAAAGGAGAGTAAACATAAGGTGAAAAAAAGAACCAATATCTAAGCAAAAGTAGGGAAAACAGTATTTTAATTTGGAAAACACCGGCCCGTAGAATGCGGGGGGGGGGGGGGGGGGGGCAGGAGGTGATGAAAGTAAATGGTTATGCTCTTCTTCTTCTTCTTTTTTTTTTTTTGGCTTGTCAGATTTTTCTGGAAGCCCCCCCCCCTTTTGAAACTGTTGCTACTGACCTGAAACACATAATTAAAATAAGCTCAGAATTATTGTAGGTAACCTACAATCATGTCCATTGCGTTCAGAATTTTAGTCGTGACTGGTAACAATTTGTCAATATTTGATCATCTGATTTGTTGGAAAATAATGCCCGGTGTATACTCGTTGATGTGCAGGGCTGTATATATATACGTGGCTTTAACCAATCAGCCAGTACCGCCCTGTATCTTTCATATATAACTTTTTTTCTGGTAATTTCTGGTAAGGTTTGCTAGTTAAGAACTTTCTGGTAAAGTTTGTGCCCCAAACTGAAATTATACAGGCCTGTGGTTTGAGTAGACAGTTTTAAGTGCAGTTTTTTTTTTTTTTTTTTTTTTTTTTTTTTTTAAATAAGTAATGGTACATGTAGGGGTATAAAAATCAAGAAATGGACGGCAAATATATAAAGAAATCTTTGTACATGTAGAAGTATTGACAATCACCACATCAGTATATTATACCTAAATATCGAAAGAAACTATTTTCTCTCCATTTTTTGAAGGAGGGGAGGGGGCTTAAATTTGAAAGGGGTAACCTTCTGTTTAACATAATACACGATTTAAAAATATTAAGTTTTCGCTAAGCATCTACGTGTAAAACAATTAATAAATTATTGCTTTTTTTTCCTTCAATGAATTGCCTTAGCACGCAGTTCTTCTTCAGATGTTGTTCTTAAGGAAAAGAAAATCATGTTATATAAATTTAGAGCCAGCATTGGTCTTTGTGTACAAAATGGCTAAATTAAATATACGTGCATGTATGCATTTAAGACCAACATTATTGCAATTCCCTGCGAAAAATAAAGACATTTACTACATCAGGATCTGTGTACAGATATAAATTAAAAAAATAAGTTATTTAGTTAACATTCATTAATTTTGTATATGAATATTATTCTGCTGTATTATCAATGTCTCTGTAGAGGACTATATACGAATTTCACACAAAACATTAGTAATTTAGTTCTTATGTTGTATAATAGATCTATCTGCATCCTTTCTCATAAACAATTTGCGAATTAAGCAGGCAACAAAGTTGATAATTAATAATTCTTTCTATGTTTTCAATATTCAAAGTTTACATTGATGTCGAACAAGGACGATTCGTTATTTACCGATTAAGAAATTTTATTTCATTTATCTATGCACTTACAAATTTGTTTGAAAAAGAATTATGATTTAACACATAACGAGAATTTAGATTTATTCTAGACCGATAGAAAAGTATATATAATTTTTAAACGGTTAGGAAATTTTGTTTTTAATCAGAAATGAAAAATTAAAATACAATTCTTTTTTTTCTTCTCTCATTGAACATCTTAAAATTAATGTAGCTTATTTTATCAATATTCTGTGGTCTTATTGATAATTTAAATTATTTTTTTTAAATCAAATCATCACCTAAATTTAAACTGAGTTTGTGGAGACTATGTGTATGTACATGCTTGACCACAGCCCATTGTTCCCCTTAGGTAGAAAACCCTCTCAAATCACATAGAATATACAAAAAATACACAGTCGCAGGTGTCTTCGCGACACGTGTCTCCACCTGTGGCACGTGAGAACAGGTGCCCGCGATTACAAGGGTTAGCGCAATGATTGAATTTTATCTGAATAGTTTACACTGATTTTTCTAAAATTAAAAGTTGTATTAAATCTTCTCTTACTACTAATTCCAATTCACGTGTCTTTATGAGTTTTACCGAGACTAAAATGTTAAAAAAAAAATTTTATTTGTCACAGAATGTTCAATTTTATTACACAGAATTACACAAACAGGTTTTTTTATTATTCTTTTGATACACGTTTTCAAAATGTCTATTATCGGCAAAATAGGTGTAAACCACAGCATACGTGTTTTCCATATCTGGAAAACATGCAGGAAACTACAGGTTGATTGCTTCCATATCGGGAATATACGTGGAAACCACTACTGCATGTTTCCGCGGTTTCCCATATTGGGAAACTTACGGGAAACCACAGGTTGATTGTTTCTATATCGAGAATCTACGTGGAAACCACTACTGCATGTTTCCACGGTTTCCCATATTGGGAAACTTACGGGAAACCACAGGTTGATTGTTTCCATATCGGGAATCTACGTGGAAACCAATATGTGGTTTCCATAAAATGGAAACTATATGGAAACTACTGATGTCACGATTCCCATTTGTTTCCATCGGGTTTCCAAATTTGGGAAACCTGGCTTTTCATCCTGTGTTTTCTTGTTAACTCTTTTAGGGTGCCTTCTTACCAACGATGCCTGAGGAGTGTTTGTCTAAAGAGATCCAAGAAGAACTTCAGAGAATGGAGAAAATAGCAAACAAAGCTCACCACAACTTTACGTGGTATCGTGAGTATTACGTTTCATTGATTTGTTTCAGTGAGACGTATTAGGAATGTACATGAAAAAGTAAACATTTCTGATAAAAAGTCATAAATTCAAATTTCCTTTTTATCAGGTTGTCCAAACGGCCATCTTTATGGAGTTGGGGATGTAAGTTTTATAAATATACAGTAAAACTTGTCTAATCAGGACACCACTGGTTCCAAAGAAATGGCCAGATTAGACAATATTCCGGATAAGAAAACATTTTTAACAATTGAATTTATTGAAAGGCACATCGTATTAGGCAAAGTATTGGATTACACAACATCCGGATTAGACAAGTTTTACTGTATATAGAACTGGATTACAAGCAAGTCAACAATATACATTGTAGATGTATATATTGAAGAAATGATAATTTTAATTGTATGAATTTTGAAACTACAAAAGATATTAAGGAAGTGTCTGTTCTGTTTACCTAACTAATCAATGGATGAAGATTCATTAAAAGAGTTATTCCTATTGTTTCCATATGTACTAGAACTGAATAAAATAATTGAAATATATGCGACATATTAGGATTATTAGCTTCGGATTTGGAAGACAAAAAAAGGTTTTTTCGATGGTTAAGTGTCTGTCTTTCATACTTCTTTATGTCCTATATCCCCTGCTTATTTGAATAGCTCCAGTGTCCATATCGACTATGGTTTCTCTGGATTTTCTTGTTCAAGAGACTGATAAATCAATTTAATACACAGAACACCAGGACTTAACGCTATCAGTAGTGTGTTAATTGAGTGTTATATTTCTGAACAGATATTTTAGAAAAAAAACTTCTCTAATAAAATACTTTTATATCACCTTCTTTCGTGTCTGATTTTTGGAAAACAAAAATACACAATTGCTCTGAAAATGCACTAGGTATCACTTATTTTCAGTGTGGAAATCCTACCCAGAAAGGTCATTGCTTTGAATGCCATGCGGAAATTGGTTCAGAATCGGAAATTAATCGTAAAGACAATGTAAGGTATACTGGGTATGTATGAAATCATTTATACTAGATAGGATTAAATGCATCGTCTAATTAAACTCAAAGAAAATATAAGAAAGTCCTCTGTTAATATCTTCTGTAACCTATTTTAGGGATGATCAAAGTCGCAGAGGTCATATTCTTGGGTCACCAACTAACAGAACTTTTGATGCTGTTTCGGAAAGAAATCTTTCTCCAATTTCTAATGCAGTTCTAAGACTTTTAACACATCTCTCGATGTTTATAGGGGCTAATTACAATATTGAGGTAAGTGCATTATACCAGTGTGTTTTACAACATAATTAAAAAAAATATAATGCAGTATTCTAAACAGAAGAATTACGAAAAAATACTCAGTATGTAATATATTGGTAGTGCAGTCCATGACATCGTCATTATCTTTGCTATTGGATAACTTGGATACATGATATTAATTTATCTTGTTCTTCGGAAAAAAAAAGAGTATTTACGGTTATTCAAGATATATAGATTGATCATTTCAGGAAATTACAAAATGTATTCACCCTACTGTAGACGAGGATGATGTTCCTGGATTTCTTTGGGATCACATTCTTGTAGACATTAGCACATTGAGGAAAACATTAGATCAGGGCTTGGATGGGGTGTTTATGCTTCTTCATGTACTTGTTCATTCTTTTCTGAAAGAAGAGCCCACTCTTGCAGGTATATGTAATTTTGAACTTTTTTAGTTGGCTAAAAAGCACTAAAACAACTCAAAATGCCGAAGAAATTCTCTTTTTAGTTTAGTTAGTTATATTCTTTCGCTTGAATTAAATCAGTGGATCAAAAAAGATATGTCTCGATATTGTATTACATTGCATTGAATTTGATTTCTTTACTAAGTTAACTGTTATTCCTAATTAATAGTTGCCATTAGAAATGATCAGGACATACCACTGCATATCTTGAAAACAAAAGATGGAAGGAAACCTTGGGAAATGGAATTTTCATTGACATACATTGCAGAAATAATGCAGGTAAAACATTTTTTTATCTACCCATGTGTAAAATCATTGTAATTTTTTTTTTGCCTGGAATAGTGCACTTTCAAACATTATATTGTTAATTAAAATGTAGAGAAGCAAAGAGCTTTTCAAGACATGTGAAGATATACTTTCTGAGGACACCAGCATAGGTGAGTTAATTCACTTGTAACTTATCATCACTGTTTTCTTCGTGTTACATGTAAGTTGAAGAAATGTCTTATAATAAGTTTTTCTTTATCAGTCTCAGATCCTGTTTTGAGGAAAGTGTTTGATTTGGATGAAGCATCATGTGAACAGTTTACATTTAATGAAATGCAGACATGTGATTTTATATGGCAACATAGAATAAAAGTTTCTTTTGAACATTTTGTCCATGAGTTTCACATGCTGAGAGACAGAATAGGGCCAGAAGTGGAACGATTTGCTCTTCTAGACGCATTCTTAAGACAGGTATGTAAACATTAAATGCGTTAAAGATTTTCATTTTCATATTCCAATGCAGTGTTTAAATACTGATTTATTTGATGCACTTTACCTTTAGGACTGTTACTTAAGATACCTAAGATATATCCCAGCTGTCGTGAGAATGCAGAGTGCCTTGAAAGCTAACTACAGAAAACAGATTACCAGAGAAGAGGCCAGGTCCCTAACCATAAGAGATTGCCTTCAGCAGTGTAGACAAGGTACATGTAACTTTAATATGTTAAATAGAAGAACCTAGATACAAAATACAAAAGGATCTGATGATGTGGTTATGTATTGTTCAGTGTAAAATTGTCTAGTTCTGCATTTTTGTTTATTCGCCTCTCTCTCTCTCTCTCTCTCTCTCTCTCTCTCTCTCTATATATATATATATATATATATATAAATTGTATGTATATGTTTGTGTGTTACTTTAAGTAAAATAAGCATTAAATTGTTTACAGGTCCATTCAGCAAAGAGATCGAAGATGGCGTGGTCTCCATTTGTGAGCTATGGAAATGTTTCCGAAAGTTTTACTTCGACTTTGAAACACTAGATATGAACAAAGATATTGAAGCACTATTAGAACGTAATATAGATGTAGATGTTGATAGTGTATCATTACTTATCCCTGACACTAGAGGAAGTGGAACAATTATCAGTCTTCTTTTTCGCTTCATGATTTGGAAGCAAAATGCATTTGTGAAATTGTTTGAAGATATAACACAGACAAGGTAAACAATTACATATTTTCGTTAAGGTCAGGATCTAGGAAATGTCAGATTTCTCAAATTTGAAAATAAATTCCATCAAAGATGCTATATAACTATGGCTTGGTCAAATAAGGTGTATCGAGGCATAATTTGTAGGTAAACAAGACGAAAAGTCATATTTTAAACTGTCATTTCAATAAAAAATCAGAAATCCATCAATAATATGGGATTTTTTCCTTATCAGACAAAGGAAATGTATCTAGATTGCCAACAGTCTCTTAGTGTTTGTTCTTAGCCTCTCTATTTAAAATAATATTGAATGAAATGATTTCAAATTGAATTCCATGAAAAAACTTTATTTTCTACATAATTCTATTAGGGCCGTAAAGTACGGAAAAAATGAAAGTTTAAATTGATTAGATCTAGCACCAAAAACACAGTCTGAAGTTATTTACTAGATCTTGACCTTAAGAAAATTTATTTTATTTATGAAGTAGTATTATATGATGAAAATTATTTCCGAAATGCAAATGATTTAAAGACTAGCATTAGTTATTTTCATAATCTAAGGCACTTATTCAGCATTCAGTATTCTAATGTGATAACTGATTTCCCATTCCTTAATCTTTTCATGAGAAATATTATTTATGTTGAGTCACAATTGTTGATAGGACTAGCAATGTGAAGGATATAAGTTTTGACGATTTGGCGGAGAGTGATCTTATTTCATACCATCACAAGGCCGACTTGCTTCCTATTATCATATCAAATTGCAATTACACTTATGCTAAGGATGAAAGGACAACTTTGGATTACGATTTTGACAGTATTCAGTCAGCTATTAAAGATCAAATATTGCAAGGAAAACCAATTCTGAATGTCAGTGAATGGAAATGGGTACGTTACTGATAATAAGCATCATTTGATTTACTTTTGAATCAAAAACGCGAAAATGTATTTTCTTTTGCTTTTTTTTTAATTAAAAATTTCAATATTTATTTAAATTAGAATAGTTTTTGTATTGAATGATTTTCATATGTGATGCGGTGACAAAAGCATTGCAAATAGCTATTATTGAATAGAAAAATGACTTTTATTGTAGCCCTGGAACACCGTATTTCGAGCTGATGCCGATGTGACGAGGTTTGCTACATTAAGTGCTAGAATCAATCAGGTAATATCAAATTCACAAAACAAAAAGGAACATTTTACATATTCACATCTATACCTTTCCAAGTTTTGGGGTAAACAAAAAAACCGTCCCGCTTTTCAATCCCTTCATGGGGTTCATGTCTGTATCAGAACTTTTTATGGAGAAACACTAAATATGAGAATGTGTTGTATGACCCGATTTATTTATACACATACTTTTGATGGAAAACAAAATATTCAGTTATCTAATTTTTTCTTTCGTTTTGATAATATATTAATTAAGAGTATACTAATATAACTCTTGAAAACACTCTGTAAATTTTTATTTTTTATAATTAACATTCATTAAATCATGTTTATATTATATAGAAGCCCTTGGATAGTATGCTTCAGAGACAGATAATTGCTGATTTCGCTGATTTACCAGATATTTACGAAGCCATAGAAAATATAGACACAGTGGTCAACTTTCTTCTTTCCGTCAGTTGCAGTGGCGATGATCTGCTAAGTGAATTTATGGAGGATATTTTACAAATGAGTTCGCTTTTAAGTCAAAAGGTATATGTGTATCACAAAATCCCGCAACTATTCTTTTCAATACGTATTAATAGGTATTAATGTTTTAGGCAGCGCAATGACTTAGATATTAATTTGATTGGTATGCATGTTTCTTGCAGTACAGAGGGTGTAAGAGTTGATTACATTTAACATGTAATCCAGTCTTTTTATATTAATCATATGATAATTTTGTTCCCGGTATACAGTTACTGTTTTATTAAAACAAAAAATAATCTTAGATTTATTATTGACCAATACAGATTTGTTAATTTTATAACTGATATTTTGTAGGCCAGTGTTTCTTGTAGACTTCACCACGTCCAGTCCCTCTGGTTTCTGTTTATGTTTGAAAAGACAAAGAGACTTACCTCAAGTGAAAAGGTAAGCAAGGAATCTGTATTGAGTATTTGTAATATACATAAATATGATTTTAAAAAATTCGATGAAAAGAGCAAATTGATTTACATGCAATGTGTACTTACAATTTCAGGATGGCTTTGAAAGTATTCATGAAAATATCAAAGAACCTTTGACCGAACAGATGTGTAAAGACCTCAGTTGGTACTTAACAGACTTGTCTACAGAGAAACTGGGTGTAATCCTGGAACAGTTGTTGGAATGTATCTTATTTACATTGAATCAGGGTCAATGGAACTATAGTTCTTATTTACACAGGTATGAACTTTGTTATTTTTTACCAACAGGTAACATAGGAGATTCAGACTGCTACATACATTTGCTTTTGTCTGACATTTTGCATAAATTTTATACATTGTTTCTACTTTTCCTCCAGAAACCACTAAATTTATTTCAACCAAATTTTTATAATTAAGATATACTGGAAAAGAAATTCTAGCTTTTCTTATCAATTAGGGTCTTGCATCTGTCTGTATGTCTGTGTGTTTTATGCTGTTCGTGCCTTAACGTTTTAACATTTTCAACTTTTTTCTCCGGAGCTACTGGATTCTTTCAACCACATGTACCACAAACATTAATCATCCACGAGTTATGGAAATTCAAATATGTTTTTTTTCAAGAGTTGTGTCCATTTCAATGAAAAATAAACAAATACCGTAATTAAGATTTATTCTAGTAGGAAACAGAACCATGTAAAAGTTTACCTATTATACTGTAAATTCGAATTTGTTCAAATCATGGCCCTCGAAGTGGATAGAACAATAATCTTCAATCAGTAATAACTAACTGTTAGTCATATGATAAGCAACCATGCTCAAGTAGTGTAAATATATATACATAAAACTATGTACCGATGGACAACAACATGTTCAGTGAGGGTAGGTACAATGTACATATTGTTGCCATCAGAAGATCCACAAAACTACAAATCGTCAAACCATTAAAAAATCACGTTTCATTAATCCATGGCCTTAAGAGAACAGATTTGCCACAACATTAAAGTACATTTAAGAGGTCTTTGAAAATCTTTTAGAAATTGTCAAAAGAATTACAAGATTGGAACAAGATTTTTTTTTTTTAATTTGCATGTATGTGCAAACATTTTCATGTTTTTTTTCAAATTTTGTTAGACGCATTGGGCCTTCGACCACTATAGGATCACAAAATTTTATCTAAAAAAGTTGATGGGAATTCTTCTTTCAAATTATTAGCATTTATTAAACAATTTTAACTATAATGTAATTACATTGTAACGGACTTTTATTTTTAGTGTTGTTATATTTACAGCTTGAGCGACACGCTTATGGTTCACTTGGAGGACCCACTCTATTCTGAGGTTGACTTAAAAACGCTTGGGTTAAATGACGTACAACGGTTACCGTCGACCATACTCTCTTCCCATTCAGTTGAAGTGTGGAAAATGATCAATTGCACCATTCAAAGTCGGAAATGAAGAAAGATTGCAAATTATTACATTTGTACGAAACTTTCACTTTTCTTAATATTTTATCACACATTGACACGTACTTTTTGTTTATAAATTATTGTTATAATGTGACAACAATGTAAAACAAGACTTTTCTATTTTGTGTCTTCCCTTCACTGGAGGGAAACAAAGTGCTTTGGTCTTATTATTGCCTGATAAATTTATGTTTATTTCTTTTTATTCTTTATACATATATCACTGTAAACAGTTTGTGTTTCTTAGTATTTGTGTATATTAATAGGTGATTTGAAATATATTTTAATTTTTTACGCATAATATGAGTTCTGTAGAAAAGAATTTTATGTAACCTCTAATAAGTCAGAGAATTGATGTGTTAATTAATGTGTTTATATGTTTTCCAACTGATTTGATTGAACAGTATATGTTTTAGATGTATTAAAGAGTTAAAGAGAAATTGTCTTCATAATATACATATTTAACATTTTTTCGTACAGGTTTTTGTGTAACTGCAAATATATATGCATATAAAATTGTATATTACTTTTCTAATTTGAAAATTGAAGAAAAACCAAAACATGTCTTAACAGTGTAATAATTGAGAAGAAAGACACATGACTCGATTAAATGTGTCAAGTGTTATAAAGGTATGGGATACTATTTATTTAATTATCAATACATTTGCAGATTTTGAATGTACTGCTGTGCTCTTAATTTAAATATTAAACTTATTTTTAATATATTAACAAATTAAACAAAATTGTATGGATATATCACAATCAAGGTTGTTATTATCAATGAATTTTCGTTTTAATATGTTTTTGATTATTGGTGGTTGAAAGATACATGTATCATAATTATTTCTATTACATAAAAATTCCCCTATGGGTTCTGCATTAAAATTCATATTTTTTTTTTATATTTGCTTTCACTGTTTAAAATACAAAAAAAGATTTCTTATGAAATGTGTATGATCGTATTGGATTAAAGAATAAATAATATTCCACACTTAGGATTTTTCTAATGTGAATGTCCATAAACAAACAGAGTTGAATGCTTTTCATGGGATTAAATATAGAGATAGCGAACAATATTCGAGCTCAAAAAGTCCAATCAAACAATACAAGTCAGGAACAGTGCAAACACAGACCTCTAAAACATGTTAGAGGTGGGGTCAGTTGCCATGGAGGAATAAGCATTCCCTTTCGACTGGTCACACCTGCCGTGTACGCCTTTTCCTAACCCTAACTCTAACATGATCGGGCAAACGGAAAAATCCGTTGACAATTTAGTGTAAAAATTAGGGCCTAAAAATAAGTATGAAAATGTCAGTCAATGTTCGACTTAATGATAGATTGTAGGTGCTGACAAGGTCATTAAATTTGTATCGACCATAGAATTTGCGAGGCGTTGACTTAAAACGAGACTGTTCATATTCTTGTTTCATCAACTTATTTGTCAAAGCTTGCTTTGTTTTAGAAATTGTTCGTACGTAGAGCATATTTTGCGTATTGAATCAACTGAAAGATATAAACTCCATATGTAGGTAATAATGGTATTTTTCTAGAAAAATATTGATTGATTGTGTGTTGTTTTACGTCCCATTCGAGAATTTTTCACTCATATAGAGACGTCACCATAAACCGGTGAAGGGCTTCAAATTTTGACTTTTACTCGGCACTCAGGGCCATTGAGCAGTGAGGGATCTTTATCGTGCCAACGCCTGCCGTGACACGGGGCCTCGGTTTTTAAGGTCTCATCCGAAGGACGCGCAACTTTCACTTCAAAGTGCCGAGCGCATGGCGAAGGAACAGTTGCTACCCATTTTTTATCGACTTAGGTCAGTCGCGGCCGAGATTCGAACTCACGACCTCCCGATCACGAAGCGAGCGCTAGAAAAATAAAGAAAGTTGATGATAGAAAAGTTGACGTCGTCCAATTTATTACAAAGTTTTATTGAAAGGTTACCATTAACGTTTTTTTAGAACCCAGATGTGTCAGACTTTGAGGTATCTTTTATTTCCAGTTCAAAGGGATATATCAATCAACGTTGGAATGAAAATGAATATTATTGATTGGTAAAACGTCGTCTATACATGTATATCTAAATGTTGAATTGAAGGCCACAACGCGCAATTTGATTGGGTGAAAAAAATGTAAGCAAATCTATGGTTAATCAAGAGGGAAAACCTGAATAAACCTCTCGGATTTCCTTTCTGAGATGAAGTCACTCTGAGGTACACCTTAGGAAAGAGAGTCTGGGCCAATCGGTAAACATCAAAATTCCTAATTCCTTTCATTCATTCGTCGATTTAATATATCCGAATGAACTTGAAGTAAAAGACACCACAGAGTTTGTCACATCTGTTTCATATTTGGATGTTTTACTGACTATAGACAATAAAAGCCAACTAACAACTAAATTGTATGACAAACGAGAGGACTTCAACTTTTCCATTGTCAATGTTGTAATATACTACTACATGTATCACCGGCATAGGGTTTTTACTTCTCCCAGCTTTTTCGATACTCGAGAGCATGCTCCGAGTACGATCAATTTTTAAACCAAGGCAGGCTACTTCTAGTTGATATTAAAAGGAATTTCGACAACCTTGTTTAAAGTCGGAATTTTATAAATTCTATGGTTGTTATAGTGACTTTTTTTTTATCATTGTCTTATTTGGCAGACTTGCTGCATACAAATTGCTAGGCCTTTGTTTTTGTACTGAATAGCTGAATTTGACTATGGAATGTTCTTTCTACCTGATCAATACATAGGGTTCACGGCGGGTGTGACTGGTCATCAGATAATGCTTACTCCTCCTAGGCACCTAGCTGATCCCAACTCTTGAATTTCCAGGGGTCCGTGTTTTATGCCCTCTTCACATATTTGTATTGTTTATAGATTTTTGGAGATTGATCACTGTTCGTTATCTTTACCTTTTTACATTGGCAAGAGTTACATGTATTAAAAAATTATTCAATTGAAGAGATCGAGCCAGATGAAATATCTAAAAAAAATCATATTAAGGTTTCAAAGACAGCCTCAAAACAAGTGACATTAGTAATTTAGTATACTCTATCAATATGTGACCATTATTTAATAACATACAAAATATATTTTAAACTTAATGTTTTTTCACAAAGTTCATTCTGGTTAGATGGACTTTTTAACCAAGATACTAGATCAGTATGTTCTACTGGACGAGACAAAGGGAAGCTTTAAGACAAATTATGTAAATATTGTTCACCATCATTTCTCCACTGGTAGCTTCAGAGACGCCTCTACCTTCAATCCCTACATCTAGGTACTGGTAATTATCACTTTTGATTTTGTTAACTAAAGAAGATGGGCGAACAAGGCAAGCAAAGTGCCTATAGTGTGACAAACATGAAAGTGGAAAATTAAACCTCAATTATAACAAAATTTTCTTTGATATTTCATCTACATGTAACATTAAAGTATACTTTATGTAAAATCTCCACAATTTGCAAAAATATCACAAAGATTGAAATTATTTTCCTATGAAGTATCATACATACACTAACGAGGGCAAAAAGGATCATTCTCTCATATTTTAACACAATTTTTTGGTATGAGTGGGTCTTTGCTCCAATTTTTTGAAAGTTTATCCTCAAAGTTTGTGTAGAAATATATATATTTTTTGGTTAACAAAAACATGGAGCAGAGATCCTATGCCTTAAAAAATCACTTTTATAACACAAAATTCGCATCCTTCCAAGAAATAAAGAAGTCCATTATCAAGGGGCATATAACAAACATGGTTCAAATGCCACTACTCATCAGGAGCCGTGTAATGTAGTGGTTAGCGTGTTAGTCTCAAAAGAAAATGATATTTAGGATTTTTATTGCTAGAGTTCAAGCCCTATGAATACTACAGTAATTTTTAACAACAGAATATTTTTTTTCTGAGAAAATTTTCCTCAGGAAAGTTTTATCATAATTTCATACATTTCAATAATGAGAACTTTACTCTAAAAACTAAATTCACAAATTGAATAAGATTTTTATAACATAAAGCTATAGGCATTCTGCATGCTTTTTTAACTGATCTCCTATATATCTTAATTGGTTATGCCTGCCCAGCTACATATAATCAAAAGTGATGATTTATTAAATTATCAATATAAACTTGTACAATTAAATCATCAAGTCACATGTAATTTTCAAAATATCAATTTTTGTTAAGCATATGTTATGATAGGTAAACTATATGTATATAAACAAAAAAGAATGTCGATTGAATCCAAATTACCAAATACCACAATCTAACTTAGATTGATAAATGAATTGTGTGGTCATAAAATTTGTATTATTTTCATATAAAATGTAATGTGTAATGTAATTCATTATTATAGTAAAGTAATTGCAATTTACTTTTCTGAATTAGAGTAATGGTAATTGTAATTGAAATGGAAAAAATTCCAAATTACCGCTATTATTTAATGCATTACACTTCAAAGTAATTGACTCAAGACTTGATGTCAGGCATCCAAACAGAAACATTGTTTTTCTGTATATTTTGAAAATACCTGCATCAAATTTTGATCCAAAATGTACTAGACTAGCCAAACAAACACCAAGAAGAATTTTTCTGTCATTTTGCCTTTATTATCAATAAGCACACAGATTTGTACAACAGGTTGAATGGACTGATGAATTCTTATTGTAATGATTTGAATAGTATGAAACGTGAACATTAAATGTAATACATTGTATAAATGTTAAGAATGTGTGATCAGTACAGATAAAGACAAAATCATTCCATTCCTTCCACTATATTAAAACGGAAATGTTATTCTCATTTCCTACCTGAAGCCCTGGCATAACAAATTCTTTATCATTAACCACCTATTTCTCTAATGCATTTCATTATTCACTGAGCTGCCCTTTCACAAATAGGGAGTACCGGGGGTATCACATTTGACATAGTAAGCTTTTACAGTTCTTGGAAGTTGACTCTTTCCCTTCAGTCCCAGTACTTGATGACACCATCCCAGCCACATGTGGCCACCTTAGATGTTTCATGAGGATGCCACAACACACCGATACACACATCATCGTGTGCTTTAAATTTATTGTACAGTTTTGTTGTCTTCCAGTCCCAGATATATAATTTACCATCAGCATCTCCAGAAATTAGGTAGCTGTTGGAAAAAACAATGGTAAGTTTAGCTAACAATATCAATTTTCAGTTAAAATTCATAAAAATATAAATATTCCTTTATTTAACATATGACCTCTGGTTTCATTTCTATACACATGCTTTAAGGTATGTCACTCGTGAAATTTGTTATATCAAGGATTTTTTGAGAAGTATATTTTGGATAAGTACTCATATAGTATGACTCAAAATCGCAGAGAAAACAGGGGGTCAGTGTGCATCTTACTGAGCTACGGTACAATTAAGTTGACCTTTTTGCACTTAAATTTTAACTCTTTGGTTAATCACTTTAACCTTTATCATATTTTATCAGATGTAACCATGGCGATAAATATAATCTTATTTTATGTAAAATAGTTTGAATAATATTTATCATTGAACAAATCTTGCAAATTAATGCGCATACATTATTGTGTGACCTTTTTGCACTAAAAAAGTAACATATTTGGGGTATTAAAAATCTAAATAGGCAATAAAATATTTTCTTGTATCAAACTTTTTACGACTTCAGTGCTGATCAGTCACAAGTATCGAGTAGTTTAAAATAATGAAAGAAAAAGTTGGGGTCAGTGATGTAAAGGACAAGTGCACTTAAGCAATGCTTAATGGGCCCTTTTCAGTGCCATATTGCTTTAGAATATATTACCAAATTGTTCTCATTTGGTAATAGTTAATTAAGAAATGAATTTAATTTTTTAAGATTCATGAGGACATGAACTACGACGCTTCACGCCGGCATATTTCATGAAGTGCGTAAGCGCTTCATGATAAATATGCCGGTGTGAAGCGTTGTAGTTCATGTACCTCATGAATTTTCAAAAATTAAATTCATTTCTTATATTTACATTATTTTTCTGATGAGTTGCCACAATTTAACTGCCATTTTTAAAGCAAAACAGTTTGCACTATAGCTTTGACGTCAAGTACGATTTTATGACGTAACAATAGAGATATTCATGGTCATCCATGGTAGTTCATGAGAAAATGAACAGTATTCTAGTTTGCAAAGAATCTTAAGGAAAATATTTGGAAATGTATATATACACAAGTGAACATTTCTAATTACAATCACGTTAAAACATCACCTAAATCAGCATGGATTTGAAACAAATGAAGTTCTTTAAAATGCCTGTAGAACTCCAAATCCGGAAAAGTCGTACCGAACCTATTTCGATTTTCGTTTATTTAAATCAAGGGGAGGAGGCATTTAAATCGAACACTTGAACAATCTGATGGTGGATCATTGAAAGGCGCGTTTGCCGAAAGTTACTTCATGCGCTATTTTACCTGAGAAAAAAATAGAATGAAATTGTATAGATGCCTGTATCCATAGTGATCAAACTAAGAAATTTGCATGCTTGCATTTGAAATAATACAATAAGTATTGACATTAGTTCCTTTAAATTTTAAAATAAAAACAAGAGGCCCAAGGGCCTTAACGGTCACCTGAGTACAATACAACAATTTAGAGGATCCATAGAGTATTAAAATGAAATGAAAGGTGAAGCTTTGTTGCTCAAAAGCATGAAAAATAGGGAGATCAGGATCAACAAAATAATTAGTCTACTATTCATTAACAGTTCATAAATTAGGTTCTAATCTGTTCCCCATTTATCACTATCACCATACAGTATATTAACAAACTATCAGTGCTTTTGTACTATTTTAATTCTTTGTTGACAGTTGCTATCTCTTACATTGGCCTCTCTTGGTCTTTGATGAACATTTAATAAGACAAGTTATTTTTGTCTCATTTCTATTTATCTATTACTTACAAGTCAAAATGATCATTAAAACTATGAAAATACTTTTTGCATTATACAATAAAAATTCTTGCATAATTCTCTTATTCTATTAATTTTTCAAGTACATTATTTACAGTGATTAATTATCAAAAGTAAACAGCAAAGGGGAATAACTCCTCTCAGTAGAATGCAAATTAATTGAGCCCTGGCTAGGACCAGAACACTTGACCAAATGGTCCAGATGTTCAAAAATCTGGTAAAAATACCCTTCCTTATTACAACTTTTACACTTTTTGCCTCTGATATGCCCAAGTGCAGAGAAGATTTTTAAAGAAATAATGCATTTTCACTACAGATTCACTATATTATCAATAGAGCCCCCCCCCCCCCCCCCCTTCACCACCGAGAAACACCAGAGCCTCTCACCCTGGGACCAGAAGTTTCAAGTTTGCTCATCATAAGTAATCACTTTGTTTAACTGCTTAACATTAAGGAGCAGACAGGATTATTTAATAGAATTAATGCATTTTCACTACATTATCAACAGCCCCACCCTTATACCAGCACATCTGACCCAGGGGTCATGCAATTCACTACTCCGGAAGAAGCACACTTGCTCATCATAACTATATACTTAGCTTCTTTGCTTTTTAACCAGAAGCAGAAAAGAATATTTTCAAAGAAATTTTGATTTTTCACTATATAATCAATAGAGCCCCCCCCCCCCCTTTGACCAGAACCCTTGACCCTGGGGCCATGAAATTCACAATTTTAGAAGAGGCATCCTTGCATATCATAACAATGTACTTAGTTTGTTTAAATAGTACCCAGGGGCAGAGAAGAGAATTTTCAAAGAAATAATTCACCTTCACTGTAGGAGCTATATAGCCCCACCCTAGCACCAGAACCCCTGTCCCTGGGGCCATGAATTTCACAATTTTGGAAGAGGTGTCCTTGCTTATCATAACAATGTACTTAGTTTGTTTAAATAATACCCAGAAGCAGAGAAGAAGATTTTTAAAGCATTAATGCATTTTCACTATATAATCAATAGAGCCCTGCCCTAACATCAGAACCCCTGACCCAGGGGCCATGAAATTCACAATTTTGGTAGAGTCGCTCTTGCTTATCATAACTATGTATTTAATTTGTTTAAATAATAACCAGGAGTAGAGAAAAAGATTTTCAAAGAAATAATGTACTTTCACTATATGATCTATATAGCCCCACCCTAGCACCAGAACCCCTGACCCAGGGGCCATGAATTTCACAATTTTGGTAGAGTCACTCTTGCTTATCATAACTATGTATTCAATTTGTTTCAATAATACCAAGGAGTAGAGAAGAAGATTTTTAAAGAAATAATGCACTTTCACAATGTGATCTATATACCCCATCCCCCCCCCCCCCCAGCACCAGAACCCCTGACCCCGGGGCCATGAATTTCACAATTTTGGTAGAGTCACCCTTGCTGATCATAACTCTGTATCTAATTTGTTTAAATAATACCCAGGAGTAGAGAAGAAGATATTCAAAGAAATAATGCACTTTCACTATACGATCTATATAGCCCCACCCTAGCACCAGAACCCCTGACCCAGGGGCCATGAATTTCACAATTTTGGTAGAGTCACCCTTGCTTATCATAACTATGTATTCAATTTGTTTCAATAATACCCAGGAGTAGAGAAGAAGATTTTCAAAGAAATAATGCACTTTCACTATATGATCTATATAGCCCCGCCCTAGCACCAGAACCCCTGACCCTGGGGCCATGAATTTCACAATTTAGGTAGACGGCTCAATGCTTATTACAATCATTTCATCAGTTTGACTGCTTGATGTCCAGGAGTAAAGAAGAAGATTTTTAAAGATTGCATTAATTTTGATGGTTTTAGCCCCACCCCTCAGGCCCCAGGGGGGCAGGGACCATGAAATTCCCAAATTTTGTTCCCCTTCACACATAGATGCCATATGCAAAAATTGGCTGAAATTGGTTCAACAGTTTCAGAGAAGAAGCTGAAAATGTTCAAATGTTAACACAAGACGCACGACGGACGACGACGGACGAAAACAGATAGCAATAGGTCACCTGAGTGACTCAGGTGACCTAAAAAGTGTATTTAGGTGGCTTTCGATACCAGTACCATTGTCTTGCATGAATTTTAAAATGTTTGACGATTTTATTTATGATGACATTTTAACGACACTAAACTCTCCTAACCCTCCCGTGTCCCTAAAACCAAATACATACAAACTTCTCTATGCGGCACGACTTCGATATGATACAAAACATGGCTATCTTTTACAGTGAGCATCTTTGAGGAATGTTTACGTGGGTAGAACTCACGTAACTACCGGTATTTCAAATAATTTATTCCACGGGTGGGTTCAACATAGGTCATACAGGTAAATAGCTCTTGCTTGCTATAGGAAAAACATTGACCTTTTCATACATTTTTAATATTTTAAGTACAAGCCTAATCTTGTACAAATTTCCTACTTTCACACAAGTTTTATAAATGTATAATGCGTTTTTTGTCAATCACACAAGTTTGTACAAAGTTAGGCTGATAGTAAACAAAAGCTTTGAAATGAATGACAGTCCTCGATTTACTATAGAAAATCATGAATGCTGGCTGACCACTACCACATTGTATGGCTTTACTCTTTGCATATTCATGAATTTCAGCGATAAAATTTACTGAATCTTATGGTTTAGATATCAATCAATGATCTGAGATGGAAAATTATGCTTAATTTGATACTTCATTTTTTTTCACATTTTACCGGGGCCCATAAGTGCACTCGTTCTTTTGAAATATTTGTAAAATATGCGATTTTCAGGCAAAAAAACAGTGTAAATTTTATCTTGACTTCTTTAATATATCTTCATTTCTCAGCAAAGTTTGTTGAGGGAAGGTGTAAAATTTGTTATAAAAATAGAAATTGAGACACATATTTAATATTCCTAGCATATCATAACGGAAAATATTCTCTGAGTAAAAGTACGTGAGTCTAAAGTTCCAAGATATTAAATTTAATAAATGTGCAGATTTGCAGAATTTTCTGCTAAATATCCTTCCACCACAAGAAAATAGTCCCCCATAAATCTTGCTTCTTTATGAATTTTTGAGCATTTTTTTCATTGAATGTTGAACAATTTACATTGTTTCATTAAGTATGTTATGAAAATTTAATTTTGATAAATAGTTTTGAAGTAAGAGGTTCTGCCTGAACTTTTCTAAAAAGCTGACAAGTGACATACCTTAAAAAGTGGCAAAAACTATATAAACATACATGTTTGTCATTACTTATTCCAGAATAAATAAATGCATGTGACTGTTAATGATAGGGAAAATATGCATCCTACCTCATATCAGGGGAAAAATCCACTCCACATGCATAACCTGCAACCTGAAATATTTGATATGAATATAAAGAAAAGCAACCAAGAGTACGCCTTATTAAATCCATGCAATGGGAGACAACTCTCCGACACATTTGTACTGCAATGTCTGATCTGTTGGGTACATACCATGTGACCTGTAAATGTCTTCTTCCTCATGTATTTAAATCTGTTTAGTACATTGAAGATTATGATCTTGTTGTCCATGGACTGACAAGCCAACCATTTACCTACAAAATAACACCTTTACTGGTTAATGATGATAAAATTCTTTTGAAAATTTCAGATTTTTATAACTTGATTTAAGTAAATCCTTCCATATATGAGCTATTAATTATTACATTACTTTCATATTATGTATGACAGTTCACATTCCTTTTCAAAAACTAGAACAAATATTCCAATTACAGCTGTGGAAATTGATTTCCCCTACCCTTTAGAAATGTTGCATGTTTAGACAGTAAATAGGTTCAAAATACTTGAATTTTAATATGTAATACAGATTTAGATCTGCAGTGTCATTTAAGATATCAATACTACTTTCACTTTTTTCCTATGCCTTATTATACTTACCATTCCTTGAAAGTTGCACAGCCGGACAGGAATGCATACTAGGATCAGCAATGTATTTAAAGTCCACAGGAACATCCCTAAAAACAGTATCTCTTATTAATAAAATTCACAAAAATGTAAGTAATAATTCTTACAATTGTTGGTGTACAATTTCATAAAAAATAATTTAAGGGTTCATAAATTCTGCAAAAGACTATATACCATTCCCAAACTCGTAGACTCTTGTCGTCTGATGTGGACACAAATCTCCTGTTTTGATCTACAAATGTAATTGTGTTGACAGCTCCTAAATGTCTGTCATACTCCTGTACAATCTCCCCAGACCTAATGTCCCACTGTAAAAGAAGTATAACAGGATTTTTACCAAACTTTATACATCATAAATTTCAGATATAATTTTCAAATGAACGAACAATTTAAAATCTATTCAAGAACCAAACTTAAAAATCTTTTACTCCTCTTAAAAATTACAAAATCCTTAATTGATAATTTAATTGAAAACACTTTCCCAACTTGCTCTTGTAAAAATATGTATGAAATTTCAAAGACATGATTATTTTTTTTTCTTCTGCATAAAAGCTAGATACTTACACAGACAATTTTCTTGTCTGAAGTTCCTGCAACAAATAAATGTTGTTTGTCTTCCTCTGGGTGGTATTTAACACAGTAGGGCACTTTTCGACTAGTAAAGCGAGACTTGCATTCACCTACAAAGATAAACATAGTACTAATGATCCATACTAATAAGTTACATAGCATTGTTGCCACATTAAGAAACCATCATAAATTCAGTTTTTACCCAAAGGAGACAATAATGGACAGCAATAGTCAACAATGTTGCAAGTGTTGCTAGATTTATGTCCCTTGTGTAATATCTAAACTCTGAGGCAGAAATTGAAAATCCTTAGTTATTATGAAAAAACGAATATGTCGTTGGCTTAATCTGATCACAAAGACAAGGAGACAACTCTAATATTCTTTCCATTTGAAATAAACATGTCTGGATATATTGCACTTGCAACGATTAAGGAAGAAACACTTCCATTTGTTCTGTTGTCATAAATTTAAAAAAAAATTCTTTGTCCAGATTTTAAAAACATGTCAATATTTCTTCTTGAAACTTAAATGTGATGACCTTTAAGGTATGAGTCAACTATATTTCTTTAATTTTTACAGAAGTACTGACATTTTGCCCCAATAATGATACATGTAACAACCTAGCTTGCCTTCAGAACATGAGATTGTAATCATATTGGCAAATTACATTCCAAGATGCATGTATGTGTATAGAACTCTGGGAAAAAAAAATCATGTATTGCTTGGAATAACACATGCACTGCAATTGACAGAAAGTTAAAAGATTGGAGGCAAAAGAAACATTTCAATTTATGAGGAACAATGTGTGTCCAATGTACATAATACACAATGGATTATGACAAACTAAATCAAAGATACAGGTTTTTTTTTTCACAAAGTGTAGGTGGAAGGGGGTTTAAACAAGGGTAAGTTATTTTGATCCTCACCTGTTTCTGTATCCCACAGTTTGATGTACCTGTCATAACCACAACTGAGGAACTCCTTCCCTGAGTTATTGAAAGTGATGTCCCTAACTGCCTGTTTGTGTCCACTGTAGGTACGTATGCACCGCCTCTCATTGTAAACCTCCCAGATCTAAAACAAATTCACATAGTTAATATATATTTTTTAATAACGATCATTTTGAATATAAATTCTAAATTCATTTCTTCAAAATGCATGTACCAGCAATAAATCATTAAAGAAGAAAAAAGATTTATGTTGATTTTCAGCTTTTGGAACTTGTAAAATTTACCTATTTTTGTGTCAAGTTTTATTTGAAAAATAATGTGATTATTTATTCCCAACAAATACAAAAATTAAAAATTTGACTTGAAAATGGAAAATTTGAAATTCAAATAAAAACAAGAGGCCCAGGGGCCACATCACTCACCTGAGCACTATGGCTAGGAAAAAGCAGAAATCAGTTCAGTCTTGAAAGGTTGAAAAGTTTAAATAAAAAAAGTGGTTCGGGAGGGGGGGGTCATGATTTGAACAAATTTGAATCTACACTACCTGAGGATGCTTCCATGTAAATATGACTAATCATGGCTTTGCTGTTCTTGAGAAGAAGATTTTTAAAGATTTTTCCTATATATTCCTACGTAAAAATTTGATCGCCCATTGTGGCCCCACCCGACCCCGGGGGGTCATGATTTGAACAAACTTGAATCTACACTATCTGAGGATGCTATCATATAAATATGACCAATCATGGCTTTGCTGTTCTTGAGAAGAAGATTTTTAAAGATTATTCCTATATATTCCTATGTAAAACTTTGATCGCCCATTGTGGCCCCACCCGACCCCCAGGGGTCATGATTTGAACAAACTTGAATTTACACTACCTGAGGATGCTTCCACATAAGTTTCATATTTTCAAGCACAGTGGTTCTTGAGAAGAAGATTTTTTAATGATGCCATTAATTTTTCACAAATTCTTAATTATCTCCCCTTGGAAGAAGGCGTGTCCCTTCATTTGAACAAACTTGAATCCCCTTTACCCAAGGATACTCTGTGGCAAGTTTGGTTGAAATTGGCCCAGTGGTTCTTGAGAAGATGAAAATGTGAAAAGTTTACAACAACAATGACAACGACGACGACAGACAACGGACAAATTTTGATCAGAAAAGCTCACTTGAGCCTTTGGCTCAGGTGAGCTATTATAGAATGGGCTCACATTTGTGTATGATGTTTTAAACAAACTTTCTCAAAACCAAGTGACATCAGCAGAACACCTTTATAAAATTACGAGCAAAAGTTAGTTTTTGAAACACTCTTGCCTGTTACACAGAGAGTGTTTATTTCAGACACAGACACAATACACTACCTTAATTTTGCAGTCCATACTACAAGATAACAGTAAATGTGCCGATAAAGGAAACCATCGAATGGCAGAAACCCCCTTGGTGTGCCCCGTCCAGGTGTGGATGTGTTTTTTGGGCAGGAAGCACTTTTCAGGTGGATCCTCTGACTTAAGGTTGACCCCGACATCCTGGGGAATGTGTAAGAATGATCTCCCTTGGTAGTCGTAGGCATCTTTAACTGAAATTCATTAACAGCAATATCTTAATTTCTGGTACCTATAAATATCTACATGTACTGACCAGAATATATTAGGTCCACATATGAAACACATTTTCAAACTCTGTTAACATGGAAATTTATGAATAGCATGTTATCAACATTATGAATTCACAGGAAAAGTACTGATTGCAGTGGTCATTTCTGTTAACTTAACATAGTCCACTAAATGAAACAAAACAAAACTACTGTCAACACATTCCTACATGAAAATAAACTGACTGGAACAACATTTCATGCACTTTCATTTTTACAATATCAAACAAAATATATTGGGCTTCATGTACACAGTAAGGTATTCTATATTCATAATAAAAAATATTCTTACTGTGAAGAGTGGTCTTTTCATCACCAATCTTTTCTTCTGTCTGTTTTGTTGTTTTGCTTCTTTTAGCCAGAATTTCATCGAGTTCTTTTTTCTCTTCCTAAGAATCAATAACACACAAAATTGAACTAATAGCACCAAAAAGCGCAGCATCCCCTCCCAAACAGCAATAAATATCTAAATGAATTAATACTTCTATTATGCACAAACTCATGCACCCACTTCTTTGTTGTGAGGCGGTAATATATGTTAAAATCTAACAATAAATTTCAGAATCTTTATAATTATAGAGATGTTGTAGAATATCTTACCTCATTTGGTTTCATGACAGTTTTTTCATCAACAAATTTGCCCCAGGGTCCCAAATATCCTTCAACATTGCCCGGGTCATCATTACGTAATCTCTTTCTTTTATCCTCGGGTCTTTTCTTTGTTGATTCAAAAACTGTTTTTCCTGATGGTAAAAATTTACATTTAAAAACTTTAATATTGATTAGATAATTACGACTGTCCCATCGATTTCTGTTTCATATGAATCTGTTACCTAGTGTATGCACCTACATGTGTTACAAACATCTTAACAGAAATCTTGCCCAATTGGTCAGTCAAGAACAAACTGGACGGGCATTAAAAATACTTGGGAACAAGATTTTTCCTTTATATTTCAAGATAAATTTTTACCCCTAATATGGCCACAGACCTAGACCCATAGAACATAATTTGTATTTACACTATATAAAACTTATGAGAAAGCTTTCACATAAGTTTTGTCTTTCCAGCTCAGTGGTTCATCAAATGACACCATATTTTCAAAATTTCTTAATTATCTCCCTTTGTTAGAGTGAATGGCTCTTCATCTAAAGAATACTTGAATTTCTTGGTTAAAATTGGCCCAGTGGCCAAGAACAATATGATATTCATGAAAATAAAGCATTGCTAAATCATTTCTTTGGATATAAAGTACTTCTTACTACTATAGGTTGCTCACCTTTATTTTCGTCCTTAGCAGTGACATCACCAATCATTACCGGTTCAGCTACAACACTGTTTCCTTCTGAGGGATCCACAGCATATCCTAAGCAAAAAAAAAAAAAAAAACAACATCATTCTGGTATCTTATAGCCTCAGTACATATAGTTTCTACTATGTGATGATTGATCATAACATGTAATGATGTTTGCAACCAATAACAGGCATAAATAAGATTCAGTCAATGCTATGTGCATACCATAACTATGAAATGTCCTTCTCTGGTTCTCAAATTCAAAGTTACTGACATGAGCAGGTTCTGCAAACCCAGCCAGGGTGTTCCTGGTGGCCAGCATCTGTCGGGTTTTGAATGGATTTGCAGGTCCAACCTATTGAAACAAGGACAAATAAATTAAATAGATACTACAAAGGTCAAATGATTCAAATCTAAGATTTCTATATTACCATTTACTCAATCAAATCTTCTTAAGAAGTTGCATCTTCAAAATGTCCCACAATTACATCTGATTGTGTTTGAATACACTTTTGTGTGTATTTATTCACAACATACTTAATTTCTTCCACATTAGATATGGATTGGAAACTTTATTTAGAACATTTATCTAGGAGATTCTTAGAATATTAAATAAAATGATAAACAGAGATTGAGTCAGTGGCTGGCTTTTACCTTTGGAGCATAAAGTTCCTCATATTTAGGATTATATGTGACTTCTTTTACAGAACTTCCAATATGTCTTTTCTGTTCAATGTCTTCCTGAAAGGAAAATAAGAAAGTCTTCATTAATGGTCACAAATCTGTTTCAAGTCTTGCATACAAAAAACATAAGCATTACATGGCAGTCTGGAAAAAGGTGCATTGGTTGGGCACAGCTTTCAATTATAGAGCTAAAACAATCACTCAAAATCAGAATCTGAGTATTTGCAACGTGTATTATCCCGGTATATTTTTGCAGAAAGACTTCTGATTAACAATTTAAAACTAATAAAGAAATGAAAAGTTTTATCACACCATATTCAAGATTTTTTCCCACTTTCAATGCCTTATCTTTTTATTTGGCATGCAGTAACTTCATTTTCTCTGTAACTTTTGACATTTCCTGAAGGACTTAGATTCAAAGTTTGAAACCAAATACATGTATCAATTTTCAATTTAATTCAAAATATAAAATATATCAAAGTAGCTAATGAGTGTTATCCTTTTTTAATGTTACCGAAGTGTGTCGTTTTTGAAAAGCTTACTACAAACAGTCTTCATTCATGCATTCACTGTCTTCACTGAGTGGAAATTAACCCTTTGCCTCCTAGTGAAATGCGTCAATACAGATAAGCATTTAACTTTAATATGTTAGAAAGCCAATATAATGCCTTTTCAATGTAGAATGTTTTCAGATTGTTTAAAAGTAAAGCATACAAGGAGGTCTAAACAGTGACATCATAGAATTAAAAAAAAAAAAGAAAGAATTTTCAACAGCAAATTTTTGATCTACAAAACTTTCAAGCAGAGTTTCCTCAGTTCCAAGAATAGCACATCATGATTCTTTGTGAACATTCATAATGACAGAAAACACAAAAATCAACTGTTACAAAGATGTAAATTTTACAGAGAATTTCATATAGGGAAATAACTGCAGCTTCTACTCTGTAATTCTGACTAACTCATGAAAAATATTTGAAGGTGTTCTTCCTGATAACTTGATCTCTTTACAGTCAGGATAATGCAACTAATACATGATTTACTTAGCTCATTTATTCATTCTTAGATCCGGTTAATTAAACCATTCTTAGAAACAGTCAAATTTTAACGTGAGGAAAATTTAAACGACACTTCATAAATGTACTATCAATCTCGGGTATACATGTTTTAAATAGTTCTTTTTAAGTTTACAAAATTTTCAAAAGCTCATCCTGTAAGTTCAAACAACAATTTTTTTTATGAAACTACAAGGCATATATATGAAACTACAGCCAAAACTGTAGGCATGCAAAATTTTGATTTCCACACTAATGATTACACTTATGCCAACCTAACTGAACTCATCCACAGTGTCCAGATCTAGACAGATCTTTTGACATACGTGTATCTCTAATTCACCATTTACAAAAATAATACATCCAAATAAAAAAAAAAATGTCAAAAGTCAATCTGATGGAACAGTGAACATATTCTGAATATTCAATTCATTTGTAACAGTTGGTGTTTTGAAATGCAAGAACATGATGAATGGTTGTAATCTTTATATCTTAATTTTCTTTTTAACCGAGGAAATTCGAAAAACACATTGGCACCTTTGTCGCGATAGCCGGGGCAGCATTTAAAGCCAATGTGGTTATGGACTTTTTATCTGGATCGATTGGTTTAAGATGAGCTGTGAAATCTTCTGTTGAATCTGTTTTTTCATCTTCTGCGTCACTAGAATCGCTGTTGTTATATTCCTGAAGAGACAGCATTTTTACGTTTGATAGACATCCATTTCAAATCTCGCATTTTCTGACTTCCGCTTTGTAGTCTCGTCAGAAGAACGCGAACTCTCGAGACATCGCCATTTTCTGTTGACTTCCCGTAAAGATGTTAGACTGATATTTACATCCTTGTAATGGCTTGACAACATCTAAGCGTGGACACAGGTAATTCACAATTGAAAGTTGAGGGTTTGTAGTCTTTGCAGACAAATATTCGCGTTGTATTTCTATTTTGCCTTTTGAAAAATTTACCAAAAATGTCTGGGTGTGCCCTATGATCATGAATAAGGGACTCAGATTGTCATTATCTATCTCTGACATCCATATTATGCATGCTGTCGTTGCAAAGAAGAAACGGGATGTTTATTACATACAAGTATGATTGTGTTCTGATTCATTTAGATAGGCGGCTGTCAGTTAAGAATGTCCACTGGGGCCACTTAAACAGATAAATTAAAGGTTGCTAGATCACTTGGGTATTAATCAGGGGACACTGGTTCAAATTGTGTACTAGTCCATTGTAATTTCTCCTTTCCTGATATGTTGACGGTGCGGCCGATAGGGTGAGTACAGATGCCTAATCAATTTTAACTGTTTTTATCTAGAATAGCCTCTTCAAACTGTACGAGACATTTGGAGCTTATAGACTGTGTCATCACGTGACATCGTTCCTGTGTTAGTTTCATTACCAAAACATCTGAAAGTGCAAATTTTAAGAAAGAATGTTGAATTTACTAATTTACCTGCAATATCAATTAAATCAAGGTGAGTTTCATTATTTGGTGAACTCTTGCTGTTATCGCGAGAATGTAGTAAGCAGCTAGATGCATTGCGGGTCCAGACTCCAGAGGTTACTGGCACTTACTGCCGAAAAAAATTTGTTTGGATCAATGTGCACATTCCGAATTTTCTCTTCACCCAGGCGTTTCTTTAAGAGCTCACAGTGATGAGCAGTGCTTTGGATTGCTCACTATCAACGCTGGAAAGGTACCTTTCCCTTTCTAAAAATATATCCAAAATTCCCCTTTTATAGTTATAAAAATTTCCTGATTAATGTATGTAACATTTAATTTATTTTAATTTCTGATAATTTTAGAAATAACTCCCAGTTAAGCTCTCAGGAGGCAGATCTGAAAATTTTCAGAGGGGCATGCACCTCTACTCCCTCACTCCCTCCATTCACACCTCCATTGCTAAATGTCTTGCAGCCGTACTCATTTTCCCCCTTTAAAAGAGGGAAAATAAGAAGGGTTGCAAGAATATATATGAAAACATAGTCAAATAAAGTAGCTTGATAAATCCCTGTGCCTTTTCAAACTGCACGAGAGTCTAGACTGTGACGTCACATGTCGTCCTATGTTAGTTGCATTCCCATAACAAAGTCTCAAGGTGCAATTTTTTAACAAAGAATGTTTAACATACTATCTCTTTGCAAAATCCATTAAAGAAATGTTTAATCATGGTGAGTTTATTTTTTGGTGAATTTCCTGTTGTCACCAAGAGAACGTAGTGTGCAGGGAGATGCAGCTTTACAAAGGATTGTGGGTCCAGAGGTTACTGCAGAAAAAATTCATTTGGATCAATGTGCGAAGACCGAATTTTCTCTTCGCCAAGGCATTGTTGTAAGAACTCGCAGTGCACCTGCTATTAAGTGCCAAGATCATCTCTGAAATATATGGGAGTTAATATCTGGCAGAGAGAAGCTCTGGTTTGGTTTTCTGAAGCAGGCTTTTAAAATAGAGAAATTTTAACATTCCTTGGTTTAAATTCTGTTCTGTTTCAGTAGATTTTCTCATTTCTTGTACCACATAAAAAAAAACATATTATACAAATACAAATACAAATATTTATTGGCACAAACACAATTATATACTTAATTCATGTCAGAGACGTTTATAAGCTTTAGTGTATACTACATGTGTACATTATGTACATGTTATTAAATTAGGCTTTGAAAAAATAATACTCATTAAAAAACTCTAGAGTGCTTATGATCATGATGATATGTGAAATTTTGATATTATTTCATTATTTTTAAGTGTTAGGTACTAAGTCTCGTATGAGTCAAGCTCATCATGTATGTTACAAGTTGAGAGAGCAATTCAGCTTAATGATATAAATAAATGAAATAGGATCAGATTACCAGGTAGTTTAATTCACACTGAAATTGTGTTTGTACACAGTTTTAATTCTACATGTTTTAATTGATATCTCATGATTTTCTGTGCTGGTATATTTCATGGTGGTCTTAATAATTAATTCACAATTACTTAATTTCTCATTTTTGAATACAGCGTCCTTGTAATTTTGAAAATCATTCTTTCAATACAAAGACAGTGGTGGTAAAGAATTTATGATAAATGTATCCAGTAACTATAGCTTTCCCATGCCATTATTATTGACCATGGGTTTCCAAAAGATTTTCAGGTTTGTAATACTATTGTACTATTACAGAACAGGAATTTAAAGTGTCTGACATGTATTTGATACAAGAGATTGATACATGTCAACAATATTCATGATGGCTTAATGTTCATAATGTAAGTGAAAAATTCTTTTATTATGAACATAGTGAAATTCAAACCACTGCAATATATTCCAATTTTACTGCATAATGTTTAATGCTGGATTTGCTCACTAGATTTCTTGTGATTCAGAGCTTAATTTTTGTATAATTTAGGAAGATTATTTTACAATACTGCATTATTTATAAAAAAAAAAATTAACTTTTGGCATGTGAATTTGAAATTTATTCTATTTATTTTAACTAATAATGTAAATATTTGTTCATCTTGACTGAATGAACTTACACAATTAGGGATTTTTTTAAAAAATTGTTTTGTAATGCATGATAGAAAGGTGATGAATGGTTTCCTTTTTTCAGAAATTCTTCTGATTATGGACTGTTACATTTTATTAGTCTAAGATTGAGATGTTATATACATTAAAACCTTTTGTTTATGATACATACCGGTATTATATTTTACTTTATTAAACTAGGCTAGATAATTAAATGTAGAAAAGTGACAACTTAGTCAAGATTGTTGATATATTGTGTCTTTACTTTTTTGAGTTGGAGGGTATTCAAAATTTACCTTATTACAGGTGAAGTTTTATTTTGTCTAAATTGCATGTAAGCACTAACAGTATTTCTTTGCATTACATCTACATGAAATCACACAAAGAATTGTGCCGAATAAGAGTCTAGCCAATATGCTATAGTAATTGTAGGTCACCAAATTTTTGCGACATTATTTTTGTGAGAAAATCATTAGGTATTTGTAAGTGAGACAAAATCTTCATGAATTCTGGTTACTGTTGTATGTAATCTTAATATAATACACAAGAGTGAAATTTTAGGAAGCAGATGATCTGTCTCACATCATTACGCCAAAATGAAGTTCTCACAAATAAAAATTGAGTTAACTAGGGCTGTGACGGTTCCAAAATTTTTCGGGTCGGGTCGATTCTGTAAATTTTCGGCTCGGTTTCAGATTTTTCGGTTCGGTTATTTTCATCTATTTTAAACCTTAATTTCATGAATTTAACTTGAAAAATCTTTATTTGTTACATTAAGTTCACCTTGAAAACAAGTCGTTACAATGTTAACGTTTTGATATTGGTGTTTATAAGACTTCTAGACCGACTATTAGCTACAGCCTGACCATTCTTGCTTGTTTTGATAATTGACTCTTCATTTTGTGACAAGTGTTTTGTCACGGAATGAAGAAGATTTCAGTTGTGATGTTTATTTATCACTGTTATCATCATCATTCTTTCGATTTCGACACCATTTTTTGTATAAAACAGATTCTAATATATAAACCAGACCCGAACTGAAATCCAGAAATATGAAACCAAACCAAACAACTTGGACCGCGGTTTTCGGTTATTTCGGGGAACCATGACAGCCCTAGAGTTAACAGTATTTTACTTGACTCTAATTCAGTAGGACTCCTTTTTTTTTCATGGACAAGAATTGGAGGTATTGCCAAAGGCTTAAGTACAACAAACCTTAATTTTTACTTCACACTGAAATAAAAAATAACCAAAGATAAGATGAGGAAATTTCCTTCCTAGTTTTCAAAATATTTTTTTTTTTGCCGATATACATGTAAGGCTGTTGTACGATAAAGTGTAGACTTCCTTTTTATTTTATGCAAGATTTTTTTTAATTTAAAAGTATATTTATAATTAATTGTTTTGATTGATTTTATCAAGAAGGAAACTAATCTTTTTATACAAAACAAGGAGGATATTGATGCTAATCAAGGACAAGGAATTTGTTTATCTTTTGTAATTTTTTAAAACCAAATTTAGCTTACTGAGCTAGTGGGTTCAAGTAAACCTTTCTCATCAAAGTCCTTGCAGTAAATTTATGTCAGTATGATGAGGATGTCTGTAATATTTATCTCTTTGGCTTAAACATTTCCATAATCACTAGGACAACTTCAACTAACTTGCAACAAAGTATTCAGTTCCATTCCATCCAAGAGACATGCCCTATCCAAGGGAAGATAATTTAATTGATAATTAATAATGAATAGCAAAATAAGGATATAGTGTATCCTAGTTCTTAAAATATTCTGTTGGTGATTAATAAATTTTATGTTAAAAAACTCTGATTCTGATGAAAAAAGATGCACACTAATATTGCCCCCTCCCCACTTACCTCAATCCCTAAAGATTAGGGCCACAATCATAATATTCATTTTTCAGGAAGGGATATTTGACTCAGGAGAACACTGAAGCCTATGAGTCTGTTTAAATTTCAGTACAGGTGTTTTGCTGAGTAAGATGTAACATATTTTTATCCTCAGAACATTATTTGCATTATTTCTATTGACACATAGTTTGAAATATTTCATTGGTGGTCTAGAAAGGTATATGTAGGAATAGATACACGCTATCATTGCACTTCAATAGGCGTGTCTTATATCCTTTTCTGTGTATTCACCATCTATCTGATTACATTTGAAGATCCAGCCTATTGTGTGTGGTGTGATGATTCATTTGTAAATATCTCCCTTGAACAGGAAGTAGATTCATACATCAGCTTGATGTCAAGTAAAGTTTACTGAAATAGCTTAGATAATTGAATAGGCAGGAAACAAATTCAAGCATTCCTCTTTTTCACATATTTTCATAGCTATAAATGTATTTAATTAGAAAACAATGTTAAGTGTTCGTTACAATGGAACATCATGAATATGTAGATAGTTGGTTCATATTCTTCATGGCTTATATTGTATAAATCTCTACATTTGATTTGTACCACATGTATATACTTGTATCTATATAAGTGACTGTATGGTGTTCGTATTTCCTAGGAACATTCATTGGTAGTGTTGAGTCGTTTAAGAGTTTGTGAGGAATATCATTCAAGATTTATCCAACTTTCAGGCTTCTAACTTAGTAACATGTTGAAATGTGTCCATTCTTATGTATTTAAGAACATTTTTCTCTGCATAGTAAATCAGTGCTTTTAGATTCTGTGTTTTAAATGATCCATGTTCTATTACATGGATACACACATACTGTAGACAGTGCCTGAAAAAGATTAACTTTTCAGAACAGTGGTTTTGTAAAAATCATGTTGGTTATCCATTCTAATTAGACACTGCATAGCTTCCTGATTTAAAGTGCAAACAGTATTGCTAATTGGGTTAGAAGCAATTACATTAGGCCTGTCAGATTGATGCATGTTATCAGGAAACAGTTATCTTATTTTTAGAGTTAATCAGAGAGTTGTGATATTTTTAACCTTCATTTTTTCATTGATTTTACTACAACAAAAGTTGTATTTAAATAACAGATACCTCTTCCTGATTCCCTCATATATATTATTTTTAACTATTTTTAATTATTTTTACTTTACTATTATTTTTTACTAAATATTTCAGATTCTGATATAAATGTGGAAAGTTGCATTCTTAAATTAACCTGATTCCATACACTTCAGTAAAGTGCAGATATATAGGAAATTTAAGACATGTAAAATAGGAACTTAAAAAAATGTACATGATAATATGTTCCTGATAATTTAACATGTTTAATTTATGAAAAAAATTGATTTATGGAATATGGATGTCCTTATAATTGATGTCAGACTTTCCTGCATGTGCTATCACTACAATGATGTAGGTTGATGTACTTCTGGAATTGTATTCATCCAAGCCATTAGATTATGTCTGTAAACAAGACCTGAAGATCTCCAACTTCCTCTGTGCTCTATCCTGTTGTATTAAATTGATTGTATGGAGTCTTGTAGGATGATGATATTGGTCATATGTGTGAATCAATCATAAACTTAAGAAACATAATATGTGTGTGTGTTTGTGTGTGCTTTGTATATATATATATATATATATATATATATATATATATATATATATATATATATATATATATATATATATACAAAGCACATTTTACAACAACTCTTAAACTAACATAACTGCCCTAAGTGAAGAAATATTAATATAGAAAGCACAAAGAAATTCACTTTTTATAAGGATACCCAACGATCCTCTAATAAAACTTATGTCCAAATAACTGTATCTCACTTCCATTCTCAATGACTGTGTAGTGTAGAGCAGCGCCGCGAGAATTCCATCGACATCGAAAGCAAGTTTTTTGACTTGCCTAGATAGCCGAGCGGTCTAGTGCGCTGTTCCTGTACTGCTAGGAGACAGATTCCGTAGGTCGAGAGTTCAACCCCGGGCTGGGGCGGAAGTGGGTATCCTTATAAAAAGTGAATTTCTTTGTGCTTTCTATATATATATGTATATATATATATATATATATATATATATATATATATATATATATATATAAACCTGACAACTGGAAATTTAAAACATATTCTTGTCTGATTTGAAGACAGTATTTTAGTGATAACTTTATTCAGTCCAAAAGACCAGATGTTTCTGTAGTTGGGCATACGGTTAATGTTCAGCAAAATGCACCTTATGCCCAAGCTATTGCCAGTAAGAAATTTGTCATATTTTTTTTTCCTGGTACTTTATTTTTTGGTAGTGCATGTGTCATTGTGTATTTATCAGTGCAATAAGCATCAAAGTGTCCCTTCTTTTTAACTCTGTATAAGGAAGTTCCCAAGTTTGTGTGAATTACATACATATTATGTTCAAACATGATAAAGAAAACCAGATAGTACATATCTCTTGATCATGTTGATTTTTTTATAATGTGGGATACATAATGAAAACAGTTACATTCATCAATGGGAGCATTTAGTTAGTGGACTTTTGAGCAATCTTTTATAAATTATATAATCATCATGATCATGATGACTGAAAATTCTGTAAATTTACAAGTCAATAAGTTTGTCAAATTATATCATGTATATTGTTTTCAAAGAAAAATAATTTTAAAACAGTTGCTGAGTAGCATTTTCAATAGCTGGTGGCCCAGTTGGTAGAGCACCTAGCTGACTAGTGATTCAGGGGTACAGGTTTAAATCTTGGTCTGGTTCATTGCATTCTTCTCCAAGCCAGTTACATATGGTGCCCTGGAAGTGACAGGTAAAAGACCTGCCAGGGAAGAGCCTGGGTTGGTGTCTTTGGCAGGAATTTGATGGTCAAGACAGATTCGATTGACTCATTTGGCAAGTCAGTTCAGGGGACCTAAGTTCAAATCCTGGTTTGGACTCTTGCATTTTTATTTTATTTATTTATTTATTTTTTTAATTTTTTTTCACCCATTACACAATCATGATTTGATTCGTCCTAATAGTGAAAATTTGAAATGTTTTTGATTTGAAACAAATACATGGATTTTGTATTATCAGTCCCACTTCAGTTATCATGTCAACTAGGGAAAATGGTGATTTTTTAAGATTTTTGATTGATAGTTAAGAGGAAAAAAATCAAAGTTTAATAAATTTAGTTATTAACATATTAATGAGGAAACTGAGTGCCTGTTTCCAGGTTTGGAATACAGTGATCTTTCACTGTAGATACCTAATTGAATACACTTGCAAATTTTATTTTGATCAGTCACTGGAATGTGTTCTTATGAATCAATGATTACTGCACAATGAAATGAGCACTGCATTTAGTGTGTATTGGTGCTAGATCTTTCATAGCGAGCATGATTTATTCAGAAAAATTTGATTTTATCAAGACAAAGGTCTTCTGAAAGATTAGGTTTTATTAGAAAATATGTGCAGGATTGTTAATATAGTCATGTACTAAGATTGTTGGAGTTATGTAAAATCTATCATGAGAAAGCTAGTGTGTAATTTCAAAGTCAGATCAGTGACCTAATTTTCAAGATTTTTAAAAAGGTGACTGGCTTTTCAATTGGAAAAATTATCAAAATTTTGGACAAATTGGTGGAAAACCAGTTGGCAATTGTAAATATCCAGTATGAAGCTTGAATATAAAATATCAAACAAATAATGTACAATTTGATTTGATTTAATTCCGTCTTTTGTGTAACATCTCTTTAACACTTTAAAATTATCTCTTAATCACATTGACCATTCTTTTTAATTTTTTTTTGTGGGGTGGGGGGGGGGATACATGTTCCAATGGGGAAAGGGCAGATATTTGGACGTTAATTGGCTGAAGAAAAATCATTGCAGAGAAAATTTTCAGAGCAATGGAAATCAGTTACAAGATTTTCTGCGATCATCATTTTCTATCTCAATGAATGATGGCAGTTTCTTGATATGTATGATCATGATGATGTCTGTTTATCAAGTGATACAGTGCTCAGTATGTTAAACTTACCGGTAATAAAATCAAAGGGCATATGTTAAAACAATATGGCTTAACTGCACTAAAATAAAGTTGCTATATCTATTCATAGTTTTCGTTGTAATGGAGTTAATTCCAGTATAATATTTCTAAGTACATGTACTTTTGTTAGTATGTCAAAGAGTTTGATCATGATAATTCTTTTATTTTTTCAGCGAGAGCTGAAGTAACAGACCATGCCATTTATACAACGGTGTTTGGAACCCATAAACGTTAGTCGGGTAGAGGTAGAGAAGGGCATTAAAAATGAGTTGGAATGTGTGACCAATCACACGCTCAGTAACATAATTCTACAGCTCAGCAGTCTCAGCAAGCATGCGGAGGACATGTTTACTGAGCTGTCACAGGAAGTGCAGACGTTCACGGACCGTACACGGCAGCTCCAGGGGAGAATAGACCATCTACAGGAGAAGGTTACCAGGCTGGATGCTGCTGGAGAACTAGGTAGGGCTTAACTACGGAAAGGTTTTTATAAATTCTTGGTGTTGTGTTATTGACATGATAACGTTACACACATGAAAATCTATACAAACAGTAAGGCTGAGAAAGGGTTGTTAAATCTTTTGGCTAATACATGTATTTTTAACTAGTAAACTCATGAATTATATGTTTGAATCACTGACGTGTTAAATTTGTGAAATGATTTATAATGTTTATTTTGTAAGCTCCTTGGTACGATAAATGATGGTGGTGCTCAATTTTGAGATTTATTTTGAATGAATCTTCAAAATTATGATAATTTTTAATGATATGTATTGTTTGACATGGATTATAATATTTGAAATGTTCTTCATAGTGTCCATTCATGATATACACCTGAGGAAACCTTACAAGAGTTCTACCCAACACGACCAACAGGTAGTGTCCAGATCTACAATACCTCGATGTATACTGAAGGCTTACAGTCAATGTGAAGCCACTCCGGCTCTGGACAAACTTAATCCCTACAGGTAATTATATACTTATCTTAGGTAAAAAAGGTAATACAGTTAAACTTCGGTATCTCAAACACTGATATCTCGAATATTATGTGTATGTTGAAGTGATTTGAAAGTCCCAATCACTTACTCTTTGAATATTTTACCCGTGATATCTTGAATCTTCAGATATCTCGACGTTTTTTCTTGGTCCCATTAAATTCAAGATAAAATTTGACTGTAGTTTAAGAGGAGAAACATTTTAACATTTACCTAAAATAAAATGTACAGAGTCAAGGCCTCCCATTCCAAAACAATTGAATTTAATATTCATCAATTGATCAAAGACATACAAATTTATTTTTGAAATAGAAAGTTACAGTTCTTAACACATTGTTCATGCACTTGCATTTCAGAGAGGATGGTAGGGATAGTGTGAAGTTTTACACAGATCCAGGGTATTTCTTTGAATTGTGGTTCCAAGACATCCAAAAAGATATAGAAAATAGGAAAACTGAACTGAAAGCCAAGAGGAAAAAGGTAACTTCTCTTTCCCCACTCAGTTTCCAGATCTACACACAAAAAAGAATTTGAAAACACCAGAATTCTACATTCAAATTGTATTTTTTATGTGTAGTGTTTTGAAACCTGAGGGCTTTTTATGTCATGTGCAAACATTTGTTCACTTGTTCATCCTGTATATGTTTCTTAATGATATTACTGGTAACAAATTCCATTTGATATACATTTAATATGTAAATACTGCATGCACCAGGTAGTTGAGGCTAACACTGAACATTTTCACCCTAAGAAAACTACTGGCAACCGAGGCAGAGTCGAGGTTGACAGTGGTTTTCGAGGGGTGAATATTTTCAATGTTACACTCAACTACATGCAGTATTTATTATATTATACTGAATGTTTTATAAAATTCAAATAATTAACTGTGAACTTTAAATTATCCAGGCAGGTCTAATCATCCAAACATATATAATGTCACCAAAAAAAATTACACTTATCTTTTCCATGAAATATTTAATGAGCATTTGTGGAATAACTCGCTTGTAATTTCTCATACTTTCAATTAATCATTTGACCAGAAAAAAATAATTTCTAACTTGAAATATTTTTGTTCTATTTACATTTAATTTTATTATACAATTTGTTTGTTTGAAAATAAAAAAATGTCAGCAAATACATGTAATCGGCTGTCGTCATTTAATTACTTCTTTGCAGAGACCACAGAAGCCAAATCAACAAAAGAAAGCCCCACGACAGGTGCAAACAGTAGTGGAGAAATACCGGGATATGAAGCAGGGAGTGGAGTTCTCCAACAAATCTGATTACGCTGATCCCGCTAAACTAAATATACAAAACAACCAACCAAGACCCGGAAGCTTAGAGGTGCAAACGAGAAAACCTGACACTGACCATAGGGGCTCAAGACCTCCTCCTAACGGGCCACAGTATTCTCAGGATGTGTCAAGACAGTCTAACTTTCAAAATGAGAACAATAATTATATTGGCCAGACTGGAGGTCACCATCCTCAAAGCATTCAAAACCAGTTATCTCCTCAGCAGAACCGAATGTCAAATATGTCACACCGGGGATCCTCTGGAAGTATTGGTGCCTCAAGGCCCAGTCAGCCCCCTCCTGCACCTCCTCCTTTGATGTCAAATGCACATCTTCATCATCATCATAACAGTCCAAACAGGGACAGCCTACCACCGCCACCACCACCCCCACCACTGGGTGAAGATGAGGATCCAAGACGGTACCACCCTAGTCCAGAAATTTCTAGAGTGCCCACCACTCACCGACCGTCACCTGCAAGGCAAGAGGTGGATCTGCCTCCCCCACCTCCTCCCCCTCCCATGAGCCCAGAACAAAATCTACCCCCTCCCCCACCTCCACCACCTGTGGATACGGGGATGGCGCCCCCTCCACCACCACCTCCTCCGCCACCTATGCCTATGACTAATGGCTTTGATGATGAGAGTTCTTCAACTGGTTCTAGTTCCCTAAAAATGGATCTTAGTGCTTCTCCACAACTGAAACCAACACCAAAGCCACAGCCCATGGTGGATGATAGAAGTAACTTGTTGGCACAAATTCGACTGGGCACTCGTAAGTTTTCATTTTGTTACTGGGTTGCAATAGAAGTATGCACTGATGCTGTGTTTGCATTTGTAAGCTAGTGATAAATTATTTGAATGTATTTTTCTTAAGGTCTCAGTATCTGTAATGTTGTTCATGTTGTTTCTCACTTTAATAACAAACTTCTAACTGATAAACAGTTGTAGATTGTGAAAGAGTTATTAGAAAATTTTGTTTCAAAAAGAAGACAAATTTTCTTCAGAAGCAATTTTACAAAGCACATCCATGTATGCAATAATTTATCCTTCTCTCCATGGAGCTGGTTTGGTGTGCTAGATCAATTGAATGAGAAAAAATTGTAATGAATAATAGGCAATTCCTAAAACACTTCTAGATGATTTGTTTTCTTTTAAACATTTAACATAATTATGGTACATTTGTTAAACATAAAGCTATTGCTGAGAATAATTAAATTATGATATTTTTTAGATAAAGATAAATTACGTAAGGTGGAAGAGAAGAAACAAGAAAGAGACAAGTCTGCACCTGGTGGAAACTTTGATGTTCATTCCATCATGAACAGAGCATTTGAAATGCGTCGTAAAGTGATAGAAGAAAGTGAAGAAGAAGACGGTTCTTCTGATGATGAATGGGACTGATCAGCATTAACTCCAGACTTGTACAAAACTACAGTGTATACCATAGGCAGCAAACGCTGCCGAGATCTCTTGTTGATTGTGTATCCATGACAACAGGATTTTCTCCAAAGACCCAACTTGAATGAAATATTCGGGGAGGTGAAAGACATGCAACTTGAAAAGAACTGCATGCGGCTTTGTATTCAGCTGATGCAGTGAGAATGTACTTGTAAACACATAATACAGGACAAAATATTAGCAAAAGATTGCCCTTAATCCATGTTTTATATATATATACAATTGTATAATCCAAGGAATGTCTTATAACTAATCAAAGATGACTGCTTTATTATGGCATAGAGAAACTTTCTCCCATCACCTCAGTATGTGTCGCTTCATTCTGTGTATAGATCCATGATCACTGTTTCCCATATTATACCTTGATTTTAAGAGACAAAGTAAGAAATCGGTGTAAAATCGAATTATTATGATATCCAGGTATATCTACTTAATAAGTATAAATGAATTTAAGATTTATATATATCTCATACATACAATTTAATTTCTGAAGCATAATATCAGGATGTGATAAGAACACTTGAATATACATTTATGTTGCTCTCTCTCTCTCTCTCTCTCTCTCTCTGCATCTTATTTATGATTAACACACAGGTATAATTAAGACAGTCAGAGGTATATTATATTTTTACTGTTTTATCTACATTTCTGGTATGTGTGTGCTATCTAAAGAAATTCTTCATGTTTGGTAAGACATATTCCTCAGTGTTTCATACTGCATATAATACATACATGAAGGTATTGAATTTGACATGTTAAAGGTGTGAATTGTAGTGATAAGAGTACATTTTATCCATACTGTTGATGAAGAAAGATTATTGTTTTAAAAGAGTAAAATTATTCATTACATGCAACATGAAATTTGTAGACATCACTTAATAATTGTCTAGTATGACATCTATTGCAACAGTTTTCCATCAAAGTACAGTGCAACAATACTCAAAAAACTTTCAGTTTCAGAATGTATTACTTTCTAAATATTTTCTTCTAGCCAATATGCCGAAATACTGTATTTTCTTAGCCCTGTATGTAAACTTTAATTTCATCACATGGATAGGGAGATAATTATATTGATAAATTGCTGCTGTTTTTGCTTAACCCTCAGTTGTCTTCCTTGAATAAAAGTACTTGTTAATTGTATATTAACTCCTATTTAATGTGTGGTGAAAATAAATCTACAGTAGTAGCTACATGTAGGTAAAGCCATGATTTTCCCATTAGAAAGTCTTTATGGTGTATTATTTTGTACATAACTTTAATTTAAAGTCGATTTTTCATGTGCAATATTAGTTTTTTCACCAGAGGAAGGGAAATAAATACAAGTTTCCTTGTCTGATGAAGATGATATGTCATAGGAGGTAGATATAAAAGTGGTAGCTTCTGTACATTCATGATTTTAGCTTTCTACAATTCATGTGTGTCGTTTGACTTGTTTGCAGATTCTTCATCTTTTCTGGTTTAAATCTAAGTATAGTGAAACCTGCCTAATCTGTCATGCACCGTGAGAGAAATTTTATTTTGGAATAGACAGGGTGTTGAATTGCACAGTGGGAACATAGAAAATAGCAAAACAGGAATTAAAATGAAGGTCGGAATTAACAGTGAAAAGTATTACACAGGTGTTGGATTAGACAGTGTTTACTGCACTAGTCTGGGGGCAAATAAGGGACCTTACAGTTGACTCTGTGACCATACACAGCATGTGTTACATCTTTAATAAGGCAAATTTTCCCCAGCCATTTATGTATAAATAGAGAAAAAAATAATATAAATCTTTTTTCTTCTAATGTGAATTGGAAATGAACATACATCAGCTGTGGCAAAAAAAGTGTGTATGTCTCTTTGTTCCACACCTTTATGTAAATTGAACACTTTTGTATTGCTCACTATACAACACAAGATATTAATGAAGTATGGAATGCTTTTTTTTTCTGACTCGTTCAAAATCTTACCGTACCCAAAAGAAAAACTTTCCATGGAGAAAAAAGGCTTTAATTTAGGAATTTATATAGACTACCTCAGACATACCATATTCAGTATGCTGTCTGTATCGAGCATTTGCTTTGTATCTACTGCTTTCAATATTGTTATTCCCTTTTCAATTTTTTTAAATTTATTTATTATTCTGAAACTCTGCACATAAACAAACTTTTTTGAACATTTTAATTTTTCTTAAAGATGTTTTTTTTTCTATTCTATAAAAAGACAGTTTCATATCTCTATGTGTGTTAATCTTTTCCATTTTCCTCTATAGTGCAAAGTAATTAAATTAGATAAACATTTTCTTCCAGAACTGTGAGTTTTAAATATAACAAAGTATTAATAGATAGGTATTCATGCATTTACCTACATATTAGATATACTTTTCAAATAATGTGTCTTTTTCTGCAAATGTTAAGGAAATACATTATATAAAACATCCATAGTCAAACAGAATTATCTCATATATTCATGTCATGTAAACAGTTGTGTAATTCAATAATTGTAAACAAAGTTAACTTTGCCCCTGTTAAAGTGTTAAATACTTGGTCATTTACAAATTTACAAAAATGTGCTGCACTTACTGTATGTAAAATAATTTACGCAGTGACTTGATTTGATTTCTCCATCAGGAAAAAATTAAACATATTATTTTTTATTGTGAATTAGCTTTGAACATGTTGAATTATGGAACATGTGTGAATGCCTTTTAATATGGAAGAAATCAAAAGTGTAATTTATTTTGCCATTAAATTATTTTAATTGATAACATTATTAAAAGTAATGCCTTTTAAACATCAATTGAAAGGCATAAATGTTTAAGTTTGCAGGTGTTGGAAAGTGATCCACACAGGCCACTTTCTGGTATACAACTACATGTATCAACACTACTCTGAATTGTAAATTGTAACTGAAGTGCTTATTAATGATGTTAATTGACGAGTATTTGTATATGGGGATTTTTTTTCTTCTTAGATAAAACCATGGAGTTAACTACGTTGTAGTAGCTTTTTTTTTCTCATGCATATGCAATAAACTTTGCTTTATTTTGAATGCATTTTTTGTATTATTAAGATAGATTATTTCAGAGGTTTTACAGACCATGAAAAGTGCTTGAATTTTGACCCAGTCCTTGAAAATAATGAAGCAGTAAAAAAAAAAAAAGTCATCGAAATGTGCTCGAAGAAAATCATGTTGATTCCCATTTTATGTATTATATTACCAATTAGAAAATATTGGGGAAAAACATGATTGAGAGGTTAAATGAGCGAAAGATTTTTTTTATATAATTCCAATCAATTTTGTCAATTTTTTTATTTTCTTGATTATACTGTCTAAAAGTGCTGGAAAAATAGATTCCAAAAGTGCCAGAAATGATGCTTGGCTGTACGAACCATGTTATTATATTTTCTTAAAAGAAACATTACACTGATATCATGCTGAGGTATAGAAACTTATGACTTAGGTGGACTAATGCAATCTCAACCTTCATCATATATTACATCCGGTTGTAAAGAAGATGGGTGAACATGTCGAGCGAAAAGCCTATAGTGCGACAAACATGAAGGTGAAAAATTAAATCTTAATTATATCAACATTTTCCTTGATATTTCATCTAACATCAAAATGTAATTTATGTAAAATCTCTACAATTTGCAAAAATCTCACGAAGATTGAAATTATTTGCCTATGAAATATTATATACACACTAAAGAGGGCAAAAAGGGTCATTTTCTCATACTATAACACTATATTTTTTATATGAGTGAGTCTTCGCTCCATTTTTTAGCTCACCTGAGCCGAAGGCTCAAGTGAGCTTTTCTGATCACATTTTGTCTGTAGTCCGTCTGTCCGTCTGTCCATCCGTCTGTCTGTAAACTTTTCACATTTTTGACTTCTTCTCAAGAACCACTGGGCCAATTTCAACCAAACTTGCCACAAAGTATCCTTGGGTGAAGGGGATTCAAGTCTGTTCAAATGAAGGGCCACGCCCTCTTTCAAGGGGAGATAATAAAGAATCATCTTTTAAAAATCTTCTTCTCAAGAACCACAAAGCCAGGGAAGATGAAACTCATGTGGAAGCATCCTCAGGTAGTGTAGATTCAAGTTTGTTCAAATCATGACCCCCGGGGGTAGGGCGGGGCCACAATGGAGGATCAAAGTTTTACATAGAAATATATGGGGAAAAACCTTTAAAAATCTTCTCCTCAAGAACAGCAAAGCCATGATGAGTCATATTTATATGGAAGCATCCTCAGGTAGTGTAGATTCAAGTTTGTTCAAATCATGACCCCCGGGGGTAGGGCGGGGCCACAATGGAGGATCAAAGTTTTACATAGAAATATATGGGAAAACCTTTAAAAATCTTCTCAAGAACAGCAAAGCCATGATTGGTCATATTTAAATGGAAGCATCCTCAGGTAGTGTAAATTCAAGTTTGTTCAAATCATGACCCCCGGGGGTAGGGCGGGGCCACAATGGAGGATCAAAGTTTTACATAGAAATATATGGGAAAAACCTTTAAAAATCTTCTTCTCAAGAACAGCAAAGCCATGATGAGTCATATTTATATGGAAGCATCCTCAGGTAGTGTAAATTCAAGTTTGTTCAAATCATGACCCCAGGGGGTAGGGCGGGGCTACAATGGAGGATCAAAGTTTTACATAGAAATATATGGGAAAAATCTTTAAAAATCTTCTCCTCAAGAACAGCAAAGCCATGATGAGTCATATCTATATGGAAGCATCCTCAGGTAGTGTAGATTCAAGTTTGTTCAAATCATGACCCCTGGGGGTAGGGCAGGGCCCCAAAGGAGGATCAAAGTTTTACATAGAAATATATGGGAAAACCTTTAAAAATCTTCTCAAGAACAGCAAAGCCCTAATTGATCATATTGATATGGAAGCATCATAAGGTAGTATAGATTTAAGTATGTCCAAATCATGACCCCTGGGGGTAGGATGGGGCCCCAAAGGAGGATAAAAGTTTTACATAGAGATATATAGGGAAAATCTTTAAAAATCTTCTTCTCAAGAACAGCAAAGCCCTGATTGATCATATTTATGTGGAAGTACACTCAGGTAGTGTAGATTCAAGTTTGTTCAAATGTTGCCCCCCTGGGGTTGGGTGGGGCCACAATGGAGGATCAAAGTCTGAAATAGACATATAAAGGAAGATTTCTTCTGATGAAGAACTGCAAAGCCATGATTAGTCATTTTGATATGGAACCATCATCAGGTAGTGTAAATTCAATTTTGTTCAAATGATGACCCCCGAGGGTAGGGTGGGGCCCAATAGGGGGATAGAAAATTTTACATAAGAACACATAGAAAAAATATTTCTTCTCAAGAACAGAAAAGCTATGTTTAGTCATATTGATATGGAAGCATCTTCAGGTAGTGTAGATTCAAGTTTGTTCAAATGATGACCCCCGAGAGTAGGACGGGGCCACAATGGAGGATCGAATGTTACATAAGAACATACAGAAAAAATATTTCTTCTCAAGAACAGAAAAGCTATGTTTAGTCATATTGATATGGAAGCATCCTCAGGTAGTGTAGATTCCAGTTTGTTCAAATGATGACCCCTGGGATAGGGAGGAGCCACAAGGGGGGATCAAATTTTTACAAAGGAATATATCAGAAATTTTTTTAAAAATGTTCTCAAGTACAACAAAGCCATTTGTTATTTTGACATGGAAGCATCATCAGGTAGTTTAAAATTCAAGCCCCCCCCCCCCCCCCCCCCCCCGGAATCTTTTCAATACTGAACTGATTTGTGCTTTTGCCTATCCACTGTGCTCAGGTGAGCGATGTGGCCCATGGGCCTCTTGTTTGAAAGTTAATCCTCAAATTTTGCATAAAAATATACATTTTTTTGGTTAACAAAAATGTGGAGCAAAAACCCACTCTACCTTAAAAATATACTTTTATGACATAACATACGCATCTTTCCGAGAAATACTTGAAGTCCATTAAGTCAAGGGTGATATAACAAACATGATTTAAATGCCACTATTCATCACGACTTACGTAGTCTAGTGGTTAGCGTGCTTGTCTCCAAAGAAAAAGACATGCAGAATTTTTTTTTTTGCTAGGGTTCGAACCCCACGAATACCAATTATTTTTTATTAAAAGAATAATTTTTGCCGAATAAAAATT